TCTTATCTCAGTTTCCGATTAGCTGCAATTTTATTGGTACATTGAAATCCCAATGCTTGAGTATTATTTTCCATTCTCATATACGTTTCTTTTAAGGAAGAACAACAAGATTAATATCTGGAAAGGCTGAGAGGTCATTCCATTGAAATGATTTCTTTAGAGCCTTTTTAGTAAGATGCACTGTAGTTAATGTTGAAGAATATGAAGCAATTCGTCTTGCATGAATATACGCTTTAGCTTAAAACTTCTTGGTTCTGAAATGTGCTACTAAAAAGAAGTCTTGTATAAAAAAAAAACTTACAATAATTCTGAGCTTATCTTGATGCTGTCATCTGAAGTGACCTTTAATTTTACTGCATCTTCATAGTAATCTACATTCCTCTCATTGTCTTTTAAATCGTTTTGTTTAACTATTTCCATGAAGCACCTCACCTCGAGCCTAACCATCGGGAACATTCAACATTAAAAAGTACTGTTGAGAAATCAATTATCACGCACTTGTTCGCCTAAATCACACATTTCTTTCATGTTTACTTAAAGACGCTAGTTTCGTGTCTTTAGCCAATATTCTTAACATTTTTCATCTTTTCTCTCTGTTTACACTCGCAACACCAGCTTCTTCAAAGAGGTTTTTGTTGGTCAATCCACATTTTTTGCATATTACTCTCAGATCGCATATATGATTTGAGACATTGTTAGATGCAGTTTTCATCTTGTTCTTGCTAATATTTTCAATTTCTTTTTTCTATGGTCTCTGTTCATATCTTTCTTACTTTTCAAACATCACTGAATAACTTTGTAATATCTTATTTTGAGGTACTATCTTTATTAAGATCCGCGGCAGTTTTTATGAATCTTAAATAAAAAAATATTTATTTATACTAACATATATATTTATTTTCCAATAAAACCTCTAGCTGAATTAAAATTTACACAACCAGGTGAGTTATTGTAAATATTTCTAATAAGTAGGAATCATAATGTCAAATAGGGGAATCGTGTGTAACTCCTAGAGAAAATAATGACATAATCAAGATGCCGACTTTTCACACTACCTCCCCCCCTCCCTCAGAAAAAGACGAGGAAGGAAACCCCAATCAATTCTGGAAAGAGCATTAATAGCAACTGGATTTAAGGCAGTTTTGAAAAATTGACTCAAGAGAAAGGTTCTATAAATTTCATCCGACAGCAAGTCGAAATTCTCGGTCAATGGGTGCTGAATATTTTCTTATAAGGAAACGACTAATATTGCTTAATATTAACTACATATATATATATATATATATATATATATATATATATATATATATATATATATATCTATATTTCTGAGATGAGGT